GATAAAAAAATTCTTACAGCATTAAAAGTTATTCTATAATTAGGGATGGCAACGGGGTAGCTTTGGGTGGGTGTATCCTCCCCTGCTCCCGCAAGTTTAAAAATTCCACCCCTGTCCCCACCCAAAATCGCAAAAATGGGGGAACTTTCCACCCTATCTCCATAACCGTTTAACATTTTTATCCCCGCGGGTACTCGCCCTATCCCGTTTAAGATCACAATTTATTTATTCTTGAAATAAATTTGTTCTTTTTTTTCTCTTCTCATCTTCAATTCTTCACCATTACAGCTTTCTTTTTAATAAAATTTATTTGTTACTTTAATATTGTTATATATGGTACTTAATATATAGTCTGAAATATATATATTAATGAAATAAGAGTATTTAAGTAATTTATTATCTAAACAGGACGGGGCAACCTCCTCTCGCCCCCGCACTAAACTCGCGCGGATTTTTATTATATCAAATTATTCCCGTCCACATAAGTAAAATGGTTTTTCAAAATTGCCAAAAATGGGATGAGTAACTACGAAGGCGGGTCAAATTACCATCCCTATCTATAATGCAATTATCAAACAACATAAGTCAAATCAAAGTGTTAACTTCTACTTCAAAAAACTATACCGAACGGCCGATTGTGGCACAGTTCAAGAGTTTCAGCAAAATTGTGTTGTTTAAAAAAAACACAAAAACACGAAAAGTCAATGTTTACAATTTTGGTCTCTCCAAGTTGCCGTTTTACTGTGCTTGTTAAATTACCCTTTTACCCCTTATTACCTTTACCAACTTTATACCCCTCTAAACGTCACTTTCTCAATCCCAGCGTCTCTCGATCATTCTCAATTTTTTTTTCTCAATCTGGTGCCCCTCTCTCTCTCTCTCTCTCTCTCTTAGCTAATACTGTGTCTTTCTCAATTTCAAATTAATAATTAATTTTAAATTTTTAAATTTGCACATTATGTGAGTGACAAAAGTGGGACAATTTATGTGTTGAGAAACGTCAAATGACTTACCAAAGCAAACTTACCACCTTCCTCAAAAGATGTACCAGTACTTTCTCAACAAGGACGTACTAATATCATCACCAACCAGTCAAAGAATTCCTTTGGTTACATTTTAATTCAATTTTCCTATTCATCAAAGTTCAAATTATGCATATTATGTTGGTGAAAAATGGACACATTATATGAGTTGAGGATTTCAAATTACACTTTCAAGACATCCAAAAATTTGTCTACAAAGTGTAATTGTCAAAATAAACTGCCTACAACAAATTTTTCTTTTTTCTTTTTTTTGAATGACTCCGATATATAAAATTACAATCATATAATCTACACATTTGTCGAGACAACACACTTCTTATTCTGTTAAAAAAAAAAAAAAACACAATAACATAAATTAAAAATAAATAGTACAATATAAATCATATTTAACTTGTAACACTTCTTGTCTTATAAAAAAAGACACATTTACATAAATTAAAAATAAATCATATCTTAATAATTTTATAGAAATTAAAACAAAACTAAATAGATAAGACCTCTGAATCTAACTTATCTGAATCGTACAAGCAAAATTGATTTGGTTTTACTGATTAAACTTATATCAAAATATAGTACAATATAATTGACAACATCAAGTAGCCTAAATCAAACCTTGTTTAATTTCATTTTCGCAACACAAATAAAATTTTCTCTATTAGCTATTCAAGTTTGCATTCTTAGGCTATAAAATCAATTAAGAACAAAACAATTATTTAATATGTTATTAAGAAACAAAATATAATTTTATTAAATGAACATATGTAAATAATATTACCCCTAAAAATCATTAAAAAATTCAATTGACCCGCAATTTTTTCAAATAATTACATATTAGTCCCAAAATAGAGGGTTCGAAAATTAGTCCCAAAATAGAGAGTTCGAAAATAAAATTAGTATCTGTCTTATTGAATTTTTTTTAAAAAAGTTCTACTTGAACCCTTTTAACTATGATTTTAAAAGTTCGAATATTGTGGAAAAACTCATTATTATTATAGTTGTTATTGTAGCACATTGTTAATTTATTTACATATACACATGTACAACATCTATAATATTAATTCAAGAGAGAAAAAAAGGGATAAAAATCAATAATGTTTCATCATGTTTAATAAATAAGCCTCAAGCATTTTTTGTCAAATATTTTTGTACAATAATATCTACAAGAAAAATGTCTAGAATTATACAACAATCTTTATTAAAATCTTGTTTAATTTAAAATTAATTTGTTTAGTTAAAATTCATTTTTTTTTTTCTAATATTTCATCTAGGTATATCTTTCCTGAGTGAAATCAAAGTACTAGAAAATTTTCTTCCCCACAAATTAGATTTTCAAAAGCTGAAACAATTGATGAAGAAGATTTGATTCTCTGACAATACTTATTTCTGTACATCTACTCTTTTTAATTGCAACTCATCGTTTTTTCTCTACATTTTCCATCCTAATATTAATCTTTCGTGTATTATTAAGTTGTATTTTTCTCATTTTTGAATTTTCTTAAATATATATACTATGACTAGATTTATAAAAAATTATATTACAATTGATTTATAAAATTTTCAAACTTTAGTTATATGGTACAAATTCGACCCCCAACCTAAAATTTCTAGCTCTGCCCCTATATATATATATATATATATATATATCATAGTTAACATGGAACTGACAGGATTTTTTAAGTTTAAAAGGTAAACGAACAAGTCCTAATGAATTGAAAATATCTCTAATTCTATATTGCACGGTTTGAATTGAATTAAATTAGATTGACAGGCATAGGCACAAAGAAGTTAGGGTCCGTTTTTGCTTCATGTTTTTTTGCATTTGCTAGTGTATTGTAGTGAAGCAAAAGTACGAAGTATGTCTGGTAATATTTGCTGTCATTTGAATAATACCGAAGCGCTTCCAAAATTGAGGTCAAAATCGAAAGTATCAAAATGATATTTTTGTTTGCTTCTGCACGGTAGTAAAGCACTGTAAAAAAAAAAATAAATTCTTTCTAAAATAACATTTTTAACTAACCATTCAAATTTTTTAAACATGCAACACTTTTACCAACCATGCTTTTATATTTTTGTTTCTAAAAATCTTGTGTCAAACTTACGTTATTAAACAAGCTTCGAAATAATGTTGAACACACTATAAAACAGAAATATTATTTTTACTTCCTATCAAAATAAAAACACAAAGTAGCTTTGGTTACCAAACAGGCCCTTAGTACTTCTATTTAATTAGTAAATTTCTAAACCATCTTCATTGACGCATGGTTGAGCTTTTGCTACGTGTTCTAACCCCAACAAGAAGAATTGAAGGCATTAGCCTGATTAGATTAATCATTCAACTTTAGTTTCGACTTAATAATATAATGGGACTCATTGGTCGGAAATTGTTCCCTCAATAGTCAATCCCGTGCATTGACCCATTAAATTAATATTCTGGATTAACTAAGTAGCTCGACTCTTCCAACACTTTCCCGTATAATCCAACCGTCACTTTCTTTACTTCCAATATATAATTATATATATATATATATATATATATATATATATAATATAAAGTTAGAGACCGTCTATAAAGCAATCCAACTGTTACTTCTTTTCCTTTCAATTTTATTTTTATTTTTTATTTTTAAAAAAATTATAAAATAGGATAACCTAGACATCTATAAAACAGATACTAGTTTTAGGACAGATGAATCCGAAACCAATGAGACACTGTCCGAGTACAATTATAATATCCAGAATGAACACTGAATTATATATATATATATAAATTGAGTATTTAATATTGTAATGTCGATCCGAGCATTTTTTTTTATCAAAAGTGTTGCACTAACGTGGAATGAATATTGAATAAAAAATATATACATCATCATTAAATCGAGAGATGTAATAACGATGTATGTATTCTGGAACAAAAGTGTCGTAGTTATGATTTTTGACGTAATATGTCTCTCTTGAGTGTTTGTCTTGGTAAGTGCAACGAATGGGGTCACATGTATGAATAAAAAATTCAAACTAATGAAAAGGACACGATTTTTAAAATAAGAAAGAAAAAGTGTAGAGAAAGAGAATCAAAGAGGGAGATTGGTAAAGCAATGAGAGGACTATGATATGATGAAATGGTTGCAAATGTATTATATCAACTCAATTTGATGTAAAAAGCTTAAACCTAAAATGGTGGTCTCGCATGGTCTGGACCCGAAGAAAATAAAGCTTGCATGTCCGTTTACCAGAGGAAAGGGGTTTGAGGACTCTAGTAGCTAGCATAATAATGTGTAACCCATACCTTGCTGACCTGCTTGATATAACGCCACTAGTGGAAAACACTAGCACTCTTTCACTCAGCAACGAAATCCAAACAACTGACAAAAACTAGAGACATCCCATTGTGAATTTTTTTAAATATAATATGAAAAACAAATCAACTCATTAATCTTATCTACAAAAAAAAAAATGATAATATTTTATAATAAAAAAAATCTTAAAAAAATGCTTTTCTTGTATTTCTAATTAAACCAGTGAAAATCAAATCATCTAATCAATCTTATTCATAATATGGAAATTAAGAGAAAATTGACTGATGTTATTACTTCAAATTATATTTAAAAAATTATTTGAAGATATGTTATTCTTTCATTTCTAATCAAACTAGGTTTTTTTTTTAAGAATATTTTAAATTTCCAGTTCACTAAAAAAGAAAAATCCCCAGGAAAGGAATAGGCATCAATTGCACTGAGAAAGAGTGAGAGAAGACAAAGCCACCTGTTAGATAAGCAGTGCAGTTGCAGGCATTGCAGCAGGCGCACCACGGGTCTCAACCTCGAGTAGAGAGAGAAACAAGAGAGAGAAAATCTGACACACACTAAAAGGACCCAAGTGGTTTGTTGTGGGCCATCTTTTTTTCACTTTAATTCAACCCTCTGCACATGAAAAAGAACACGCTCTCTTTCTCCGTCTCCTAAACCCTTCTTTGCACCTTTCTAACTGTGTCTTAACTCTTTTAAGTCTCTGCTAAATAAAGGGGGTTGAAGATTGCAGGAAGATTCCAGGCAACTAAAGCAACGTCACATCATCATCATCATATATCACTTTCTCTCTCTATATTCCATTATTTGAGTGGTGTGAATTGTGGGTGTGGTTTTAGGGTTCAAAGAGTGCAAAATACAATGGTGAGGCACTAATGAGACAGTACTGGACCCAAGTGCAGGCAGTAGGAGAGGACGAAGATGGACCTAGCTTGTCGGTTGTTTTGGAGAGCAACCCTCTGATCACTCATCAACTCACCTCTGACTCTCACCACCTTCACAACAACCAATTCATCTGTTTCCTTTGTTACATGAATTTTATGAAGTTGGATGCCTGCCAGGGAACACCACCCTCTCCTCCCCTTTTTCTCTCTCTTCTATACTAATATATATATATATATATATAAATTCATTCTGTATCACTGTGTGATGCTTTACCTAGATAAAAGAGTTTAAAAGCTTATTGCTTGAATTTCTTTTAGTAAACTTTGTTTCATTGTTGAGGGGTCCATATGATCTAAGTCTATACCTATGCCTCCTATTTGGGTTTCTAGCTAGCTAGATTCTTTTATCCTTTTTATTTATTTTTTATTTTTAAGTATTCTCTTTTTGGCTATAGAGTAATATTCAAAAAAAAAAAAAAAAATTCGTTTTTTAAAAACAGACATATTTTGTGCATCTAGTGCTCAATTACTTTCTTACGTATTGGAAACAGCGTTGAAATTAGTGAAATGGGTTGGTGGGTTAGCACTGCGAAGGAGAGAGAGAGTTGATTATTTCTCTGATTAAGTTTGTTGTTGAATTAGATTAGATTAGATTAGATTAGGGTTTTGAGAAATATATATATATATATATATATATATATATATATAAAATGATGCATATTTATTGTTTAGAAGAGATCTTGAAGATTATGACGGTGATTTTGGTTATGGTTTAGGAATGACTTTTAGATGAAGGGAATCAGTTTAGAAATCAAACAAATGGAGCTGAGAAGGCAAGAGAAGGAAATAGGTATGCCAAACTCTTTGGACTATAATTCAGCTCAACACAATCAAGAATCAGCATCCAAGCTCTCTCCTGCATCTGTAATTCCTAATGTAGCAGATGGAAGAAGAAATGAAGATGGTCAACGAAGTACCATCATCAACACAAGTCAAACCCTAGACCACTCTCATCTTTATCATCATCATCATCTAAATCAACAGCAACAACAAACACAGAGATTGGAAAGACTCCCAAATCCAGATCCAGTTCTAGCTGCAGCCGCAACAATTGGCACTGCATCAAATTCAAACTCAAAGCCACTGCCACTGCCCCCACCATTGCCACCGCCGCCGCAACCTCCGCAACTAAAACCCACAAACAGTGCCGCCCCGATTCAGTATCGGGAGTGCCAGAAAAATCATGCAGCGAGCATGGGCGGGCACGTGGTGGACGGATGCAGAGAATTCATGCCGAGTGGAGAGGAAGGTACCCAGGAAGGATTGAAATGTGCAGCTTGCGATTGCCATCGGAATTTTCACCGGAAAGAAGTGGAAGGCGAGCCTCAATCCGGTGTGAATAGTTTCTACACATACAATCACAGCAAGAACAATAGCAGAAGAGCTGCGATCCACCCTACTCACGCTCCGCCGCCTTCACTTCATCATCCCCCGCCTCAGCTGCACCACCACAAGTTCCCTCATGGTGGTTACTCTCATGGTTTATCGACTAGCCCGCCTGCAGGTCCGGTTCCACAGGTCATGGTGGCCTTTGGTGGTGGCAGTGGAGCTCCGGCAGAGTCCTCAAGCGAAGATCTAAACATGTTTCAGGCCAATGCTGGAGCGCAACCATGGGGGCCACCGTCATTTTCTTCCTCAAAGAAGAGGTTTCGGACTAAATTCACTCAGCAGCAGAAAGATAGGATGCAAGAATTCGCAGAAAAGTTGGGATGGAAGATCCAAAAGCAAGATGAACAGGAGGTCCAGCAGTTCTGTGCTGAGATGGGTGTAAAGAGGCAGGTGTTCAAGGTGTGGATGCACAACAACAAACAAGCCATGAAGAAGAAACAATTGTAAGACAAAATGAAAACCCCCATCAAGATTTTTGGTTTTCGCATAATTAAGTAGAGTATCAAATTTTAATTAGATGTGCATTATTATAAAGAAACTATGTTTCTTTTTAATTGAATATGCAATATGACTCACATCACCTTATCTTCTACTAGGTTTGCCCATCGATCTTCAAGTTAACAAATTCCACTTATTTTGGGATACTCCTGTGTCAAGCTCTTCAACAAAAAGTGGAAATAAATAAATAATAATAATAATATATTTTTTTTAAATCTTAGTTCTTGCTTCATCTATTATAAATATATAGATCTCTAGTATTAACTCCATCATTACCTCTTTTTTCATAACTTTGGTTAAGTTTGTCGGACATTTTAGTACCCCAGGTTTTTTTTGGGTAAGCACTAAGTAGTACCCCAGGTTTTTCGATCATTTTCCATGTTTTTTCTAGTACTTTCAATTAAATTCTATATAGTTTGCATTTGACGTTTTTATGGCTTCTGTTGTGGGTTTAAGTAACTAATTGCTTCTTCCTGTATACATGATTTCTATTTCTGCAAAAAGAAACAAAAACAACAATACTGAATCATTTTCTGTAATGAGGTTTCATGTACCCATGTATCTAGATGAAGTTTCAAATGAGGTACTATTCATATGAATGTTATATAAGTAAACTATTATTTCTATAGCAACACCATTAATTGAAGTACGCGTACATTAGAGAGAGATACAGTTAATTCTTTTTTACTTTTTATTTTTTAAGTATGAGATTTGTCAAGCTTAATTGAATCTTAAATGGAAGTTTACCCAACTTAGTTATATAAGCTAGATATATGTACATTAATTGTATATGCAATCTAAAATACCATCTACTCCCAACTTTTAATGCCAAACTCTGTGACACCAGTGGCTGTTGTAAATGTGAAGATTTTGATATGTAGGAATATAGGATTTAAATGAGCTACAACACAGATTTTATTCTTTTGAGTATTTTACAATGTAAGCTGATTAGATACATAGAGATTAAAAAAGTAAAGAAACTCTTAATTTCTTTTTCTTACTTTAAACACAAGGACACTGGAGGTATGAAATGCATCTTCTACTTTATTAATAAAAGCAAAGAATCCGGATGAAGGAAATGAACTATATAGGGTTACAATGACCATTGATAAGTCATAGACATCTAAAAAGAGAGAATGATCTTCAATGACTTAGAGGATGGCACATAATTATAAATATTAATCCATGAAAGTTCGTAAGAGAAGTTACTAATCAACACAAAATCTTATCAATACCTCAATGGCTACAAATGTTCTTGATTGAATTATCCTTCAGACATTCCTCGTGGAATGTGATCCGATTCCTTTGGTTGGCAAAAGAATCTCCTAATTCCTTCACAATATATATATATATATATATATATATAACCAGGCTACACCCTTGGTAGATATTGTTGCACTGTGACATGAATCACTGCAACTTTTATGACACCATTTAGTTTCTGTATCCAATACATGTTATTCTCTTTAATCTATCAATAACGGATCCATAAAACTAGGTTTAAGTGAGTGTTGTCAGGCTGGTCGTACATAAGTTGAATTTTGATACTCTTGAACACTCTCCATAGAATTATGTCAGATGACAATAATGATTGACGGGTATAGAAAGCAATAGATTACTATTCTGAGTTAAGAATGCCGGTGAGTTGCGTCACAAAATACAATAATCACTACACATTCTCAAAATCAGTCATGTATAGCAAGAATGAATTAGATGCGATGCTATTAAATGCATCTTACTTGTAGTCCATCAGTTTGCTTGGGGGAAAAGAAGTCTAGGGACAACTGAAGAAATGTATCATACTCGGGGAATAAATACCAAAATACAACTTCCTCAAAACCAAATTTTGCCACCACCAATATGGGGTAGTGACTTCACTAACATGCGCTAATAGTAGACTGGAATGTGATGGGCACAAAGTATAATGAGTTTTGGAATATGTAGGTTGAACAATAGCCCTGCAATTAATATCTCCAGTGTGAAAGCCAATCAATAAATGGGAATGGGTTAGTCACTTAATTGCTTAATGGCCCATTGCTTAGGCTGTGGCCTGTGTGTCATTCAACAGCATAGTCTAACATGACTAATATTTGGGAACTATTTTCGGCGCACAACTTGCAGGACATAAGAAAAACAAGGCTGGCCTGCTCAAACCTAATTTGAATCTTCACCCTCGTGAGTGGTTTGGCGACTAAGAGAGAGAGAGATTAGAATAGAAATCCAATTAATGTTGGGAAATTGTTTAGAGTCCGAACTCCGGACAGCAGAACATGCATAAAATGGGGCTTGGGGCCACATCCCATCTCATGTTCGATGTTCGGACTCTATATCAGGAGCTCTCCATGTCAAGTCAAGTTTGTTCAATCCGACCTAAAAGTGGGGCTTTATTTTTTGTGGGTGAGGTGGGGGGAAGTTCAAGGATAACATAACATGGCCATGATGTTGCCAAATACCATTCTTGCTCACCAAATGGCGCCCAAAAAGGGACATTAAAGTAGACTACGGGCAATAAAAGTGATAAGAGGTGAATGTAGAGAATGACAGTTCCTTAAGGACTCACTTGCGAATAAATTAGTGAAACAGAAAATACGGGATCAAATTCTTATAACAACTTTCAACATAATAATGTTTCTAGGAGTAGAAACAATGAAATTTATATAAAATATACGAAATAAGAACTCACAACTCATAGCTCCGCATCCATTCTGATCTTCGCTCCTAGAGTACCTGTACCTTCTGAAGCCTTCTCTTTCCCAACCCCATATGTTTCCCTCGCTTGATCAGTCATGGTTTCCCTGGCCAACCTATATGTATCACCAACCTCGGTTTTAGCTTCATCATAGGCATCGTATGCATTATGTTGCCCGTGTGACATTGCTCCTGCCATGGTCTCTTTGGCATTGCTGGCCTTTTCTGAAGCCCCTTTTATGGGTTGATCTGCCTTCTCAGAAGCGAAGGCATAGGCATTAGATGCTCTATCTTTCCCATGTGACATTGTTCCTGCCATCATCGCTTTGGCATCATGAGCCATGTCCTTGGCTTGATCGACCTTCGTAGAAGCAAATTCGGATACTTTATCGTCCCCGTCTGACATTGCTCCTCCCATTGTCTCTTTGGCATAGCTGGCCATGTCCGAAGCCTTGTTCATGGTTCGGTGTGCCTTCTCAGAGGCAAAGTTCTTTGCATCATCCAGTTTATCGCTAGCCAAATTTGCCGCCTCACAGGCCTTTTCAGAAGCATACTTTGATGCCTCTGCCCAAAAAATTAAAATGTTAATATTAGAAAAAAGATTTACAAGTACAGGTCATGAAAGCATTAATTAAAAGTCCAAAATAAAAAATAATCACCAGATGCAGCAAAACTCATGGACTCTGTAGCTCCTGATGCTGCATCCCCTGTTTTATCCATCATCCTGTGAGCCTTGTCTTTAGCTTGGTCCTCGTTTAATTTAAAACCCCTACAAGCAACATTGGACCATAAATGATTCCCAACTCATTCAATATCTGAAATTTAAGTATGGCCACTGAGCTCATACATAATGTTAAGTTGGGGTTGAACTATCTAAGAATCTTCTACAAAATTCTTAATTTTCTCCAATTCCGTGCAACTAAACATAACGTTAAGGTATTCCAAACTTGAATCATCAATCAGTTACGATTGCAAAATTCCGTTCTTTAATTATGCATTATTCTTGATTTTTACAAGTTGATTATGGATTTAAGCCCAACAACCTATAGAAACATCGATAGGTAATGATAAAAGAGTTGTGAAATGAGTGTGGAATATACAAATCTATATCCTAGTTAAGCCACCTTTAATTGTATTATCTTTCAGTGTTTCTCCCTATCTCCTACTTTTGTACACTAATTATTTAATTAGGAGTCAATGCCAAACACCCCCTTGTTATGGTGGCCCTATTTTCCCACCCCTTAATTGCTTTCATACTCTCTGAAGTTGCTCAACTTACATTGCAGTTAATAAAAATAGGTTTGACCTTTCAGCTCTTTTCTTAACTTCCCTTTTTCTTTTTCTTTTTTCTAAGGTTTTAATTGGCCGCATGAAATTGTAGCCTTTGGATTTGAAATTATAATGGATGAAATTGGAGAAAATTTTGATTCAATTTTCTGAGTCGTTTTAATCAAATTTCACCTATTGCAATTCTATACCTACCAAACATAGCCTAAGAAAAAATTGCATGAACATCTATATAAGTAAGTTCATACCACCCGGGGACCAAGGCCAGTGGACGAGTACGTGATATATTCTCTTATTTCACTCTGAATAGTAGAGGGTTTGAGACACTGCCCAGCGGACTAACAAAAAAGATAGTTCATACCACCAAGAATTTTTGATACACAATTGAGGCTTAACAATAATAATAATCGAAAATTGCAATTAATCCACACACATATATATACAAAGTTTACAAACGACACTCCGTATATAACTTACTGAGAGAACTTCCCAATAGTCCAATCAGCCCAAGGATGGGTCTTGTCCTCGGCGTCTTGCATGACATCGCCGGCGGTCTGCTCCGCCTGTTCCGCCTTGAGGTTGATGTTATCCGCGGTGTCTTCACCCCAACACCAGCAGCACTGCTCCACCGACAACGCCACCAGCCATAGTACTAATACTGCCGTTGTTCTCTTTGACATCTCTCTCTAGAAATCTGGTGATGTTATGATATGTGTCTCAAAACAATGGAACCAGAAACCAAGATTCAAAATGTTTAAGAGAGTAGTGAAGATTGATTGGAGAAATGAAATGGAAGATACAAACACGAAACAGTTAGTGGAAGATATAAACACGAAACAGTTAACGGTGGAGAGAAACGTGGCGGTCCCAAGGAATTTCATGAACCGACCCCCCAGTATACTGCCACGTCTCTATCTCTTAACGCCAAGCATTGGGCCGCTTCCTTTGCATATGTGTTGCGGCTCATATCCATGCCCAAGCCCAAGCCCAGAGTACTTTTTTCTTTTCCTCAGATTCAATAAGTATTTATTTATTATCCCATGAATGAATTTGGGCCAATGGGCCAATGAACAAAAGGGAATGTAATAGGCATAGAGTCTATCCAAACAAGGCAAAGCCCACACTAGTCTAAGAATTACATAAGTCCCTACTAAGTTCATTCTTAATTTGGCAAACAAATCACCGCTAGGGGTAACGGCTATGTTCAAATAATACATATGTGTGTGTGTGTGTGTGTGTGTATATATATTGTACCGATTAAATAGAGTCTCAAGTCAAAACCTATAAACTCAGATTTAATGAATACTCGAGTTCTTCTTTTCTTCGGAAAAAAAACAAAAAAACAAAACCATAGGCTTGAAAATATGTCTTATATAATTAAAGCATTCTTTGTAATTTCAAATATATTAATATTAATAAATAATTATTAGAAAAAGGACTCCTATTTAAAGGGAAATAATCAAATACAATAAAAAAAATATATCTAAAAATTTAGATAAATATACTTCACAAACTTTAACTGAGTCCCAACTAAACAATTTTGGACATATGCCGGACATATGCTCGACAAATTCCAAATCCTGGAACACTCTTTTTCTTTTTCTTTTTTTCTCTCTTAACAAAGAACCCACTTGAGTCCTCGAGTCCTTGGGCCGAGACCTTTTTGGTTTGAAAGGCGAAGAAATACTACTGTCGGTCTCCCTTAAACTTGACAATTAGAGACTAACTAACTAGCATGTATAGTCAATAAAATTTACAAAATTTAAAATAGCAAAACTCAGATATAGATATACAAATTATTGCTGGACACATGCCCCAGAAATTGACACATGAAAAATCAGAAGTTACACCAGCTCCCGAAGTTCCCATAAGCAAACTTGGATAAAGTTTTGAACCAATTTGCTTGCAAGAAAACACTATTATACTCGATTTAATCAAATTTAAATGGATTAAATATACTCCAAATACAGAGTGAAAATAATAAGTAAAGAAAACAAAATTTCCACCATTTGAGACCTCTAAAACAAAGGCCTGCTTCTCTACCTTACAAGTAGAACCTCTCTAAGCTGGATGGCCACCTTCCGCTGCCAGTCTTATTCGCTGTTGATGCTCTGCAACCTTGTAATCCACAACCTCCCTGAACAGCTCCGGATCCAATACACAATCTGGGCGCCCATACACAGCTGCTTGAACGCTGGCCAGGAGTTTTGCTATTTCACGGCCAGAGAAACCTTCCGTCTTTTTGGCTGCCTCTCGGATCACGTCGTCTGACAAATCTTTTATGGTTATCTTCTGTGGTTTCTTCTTATGCAAAAATCCATACTTAAGCAAAAAGCCCTGCTTAAAATCATCATTACTTTCACCAGCGAGATACTTATTCAAATAGAGCTTCAGCAGTTCGAAACGCTCTTCTTCCCGAGGAAGAGGGAATTCAATCACTTCATCAATGCGATCAGTGATAGCAGTGTCAAGATCTCCTGGTCTGTTTGTGGCAAGGACGAGAACTACATCTCTTGATTGGTCACCAGTTCGGAAGAGCAATGCATTTAGAGCACTTCGCTGAGCTTCACTCATGTGTATACTGTTACGCCTGCATCAATCAATTATATACTTGTTAACTTGGTCGCCAGAAGAAAAACCAAATTGTGTTGTCTTCCCTGAATAAAAAGTCAGAATCATACAACCAAAATACAAGTACAATTAATTATTATAGGCAAAATAAGGTCACCACACATCATCAGCTGCTTTAATGTTCGCTTCAGTCACTTGGTGAAGAAGTACAATTTGACCCTCGAGATTATGCGAAATGATAATAGATTTATCCTAAACTCACTCTCTTTTTTCATTTGGAACATTCATGGTACTTTGCCAACAAAAAGATGAAACAAATTAAAATGTACAAAAAAAACCCACAAAAATGGAACCAGTACTTATTTAAAACTGAGTTGATGCATGCCATGCAAGTAACTACAGGTTTGAGCCTTCCAAATTCATTTTTGTTTGGTTGTCAAGGTCTAGCACAATTCCCAGGACCTGATATACCTTTAACATAATAGTGCCAATAAGTCAAGAACATGATAAGTGCAATATTAAGCTAATGAAACTTGTTTGGCATTTCACAAATCTACTTATAAATGCCCTGCAAGCAATTGTAAGTATATGATGATGATGAAAAAGTTAAGTGATACTATTCCAAACATTTTACAATTGCCGACTGATAGAAAATACCATTGTTTCATTAAAATAAATCTGAAGATTATAGATTTACCCAAAAACTTGATCCATGGAATCAGATGAGAGTGACTTACTCGCATAAAAAAGCATCAGCCTCATCAATAAAAAGCAGCAAACCTTTCTTTGACTTCTTGGACCAATCAAATATTTCATGAATTTTGGTAACAGCCTGAGGACCCAGTGGTGCAACATCCCCTCCCGTCATCATGGCATAATCCAAACCCTGCACAACAATATTCAAGAACAAAGCTAGTGAGAAGAAAGCAGCAACTAATGCTTTCCAATTTCTAAAAGCATTCCCCCAGGGGACAGAAATGTCAACAGAGACTTGGGGGTTGAAATCCTGACAAAGAGTAGCCCATCATCTGGCTCATGTAAGCAAAACTATTCCCCATTGATTATTTTGTTGCTTTTTGTAACATCTCTCACTTAATTTTCTACTATACTTGTGCAAATCCATTAATACTGACAAAACAGAAACCAAATAAGCAACCAAAATCTCAACACCACATTATTCACGTGCATCAGCAACAATTCCCAATTTTGACACAGTTTCACTTATCCTTTTTTTGGTTCTAATTGGTCCATCAAGATTACTCCCACTTCTCATTGACAAACTAATGGGATGACCAGTGACCTATTAGGACATGCAAAAAAATCACAAGGCACGGGCTAGAGCAAGGTGGAAGATAAGGAAAAAAAAAAAAAATTATACAATGGGTTACCACAATACCGATTTTCGAGAAATTTCCTTTGCAACCATGGTTTTACCAGTGCCAGGAGGCCCATAGAAAAGCATGTTACGGAAGGGTGCTTGATGAGACTTAGTGTTTGCAGTAGCTCGAGCAAGATGCTGTATTCTTTTCTGCAACGAAGGATGAAGAACAACATTTCCAAAGCTGCTTTGATTTGCCACAGGTGCAGCAGCTCCAGCCTTAGTACTATAATTGAACACCTTATTTGCACCTCGAGAAACTATTCCTGACCATGGAAATTTTGCAATGGACGATTCTCGAATCAGTGATGGCTGTCCCAGAATTCGGTTGATATATCCCCAAATAACTCTGGAACCTTCTCTGCAAGTGCATCAAGGATATTAAATCAGGCTGTATTCCAATCTATTGGCTTAAAAAAAAAAAAAAAAAACAATGTAGTTATGGGATGCAATCAGACTGTTCTCCACCCATCTATGTCAAAGCATATCCTAGAAGTGAGCTAGCATTATTCCAGACTGCTCACTACATGCCTATTTAATCTGGCCTGGAAAGAGCAATGGATCAAGGAGTTTAATGACAGCGTGATGAATCTTTTGAAGGAAATATCATGTGAAAAGAATTAAAGACTTGGGCCCTAGTGCCTCATGAAGCACCGGGTCTCAGGTTCAATTCCTGCTAGGTGCAAACAATTCCTTGGAGGGGGAGTGTGTGTACCACTAGGAAAAAAAAAAAGAAAAGAATTAAAGAACGCAATTACGAAAATATATATATATATACACAGACATCAGATTCATTGGGTTCTAATCCTCTGTTAATTTTTTCTCCTCCTTTCCCACCAAATTTTTTCTCAATGCAATAGCAGTAAACATGCCCACCCATGTGCATCGCCAAAAAATTAATCCCCGGTACTTTTCCTACAAATATACACATGTTCAGCCAGTAATTTTTTATTTTATTTTTTTGACAAATTACATGTTCGCCCAGTTATGCCTCCACTTAGCATGGTTTTAGCCATGCAACCAAATTTATATACTCCAACACAGCCACAATTTTCTTATCAAATGTTTTCATACTACTAAGTTTGTTATGCGTCGTGATAGAAACTCCTGCTCTGATTTGTTATCAGTACTTCGAGCATGCCATCACTGTCTCTAACAATATATGGTGCTATCTTCATGCATCTATTTTTTGGTTCTCAACAAAGTTCACATTTATTACTAGTTATATATATATATGATTACCAACCCAACTGCACAAAATTACTAACAGAATTTAGTTTATTTCATTTAGATGAACAAAATGCAATGAGAAGAATAGCATGCAGACCTAGTCGTATAAACTCCTGCTGCTAATGCAGTAGCTCCTCCAACAGTCATAATCAACTTAGTCCTATCAGTCAACAAAATCCTTACGCCCCCTGCAAATTGAAGTTAAGAACAAGTGTCAGAAAGGTGTGCTCACTCTTTGACCAAATGAAAATGAAAGAAAAATAACTTTATGTCAATATAATGACACAACATAGAGGATCTATGCTTACAAATACAAACAAAATATGACTAGCAGCAAGTGCATAAATCTGCACAGGTCAATGGACAATAACTAGAACTTCCAGAGTGAAAAAAAGTTTTATGGCAAAAGGAGTACTGTGAAGAAACTAGTACTAATGTTGCACATGGAGAGAAGCAACGTGATCAGAAACTTCATGCAACAAACCACTTAATGTACACCACATTGCGAGCCCTGTGATTAAAATAAGAATAATAAAAAACCATCTTAGTTAGTTTCTACCTTCAATATGACTAAAAGTTGTATTGATTGCAGCGAGCCACTTGTCTCTTTCACCATTCATCCGTTCTATAAGCATTCTCCTGTTATGGTCCTCAGTCAGCTTTGCTTCATGTGCCCGACCTTCAGCCTCAGCCATGGCTTTTACTCGCATGGTTTCCCGGTCTATTTCAGCTCTCTCTTTCTCAGTCTGTCTTTTCTGAGCTTGAATTTGTTCTTCAGTTGCCCGTCTTGCTTGTTCTTTTCGTATGGAAGACTCCTCTTGCATCTTGACCAATTCAGCATTGTGTCGCCTCTGAGCTTCATGATCTGTCTGCAACAATGACGAGACAATAAATTATACTGTTGGATGAATAACTCAAAGTCTCACTCAATATCTAGAAAACTCGACTCAGCCATCTAGGTATCATTGAACTTTGGCACGTACAAGTGACAGTACAATAAATTAGCAGGACGACATCATCCCACCCAGTATAGCAAGACACATTGCGGATATTGCCTAAAATGACACCATTTGGGAGGGCCTTTGTGATACAGTGGATGACAACATTTCACTTAAGACAACCAAAAACCAACAAAGCCAATTAGGTCTTCTGAGTAACATTATCTAATACATTTTCCCAACTCAATATAGGAATCCCTTCCTAGAAAACTCAGCTGAGTTGTCTTGGAATCACTGGACTTTGAGACGTATAAGTGACGTGATACAATAAATTAGCAGGACAACATTGCCTCGCCCTGCATATCAAGACACATTGCGGATATTGCCCAAAATGATGCCACCTTGGAACGCCTTGTGATACAGTAGACGACGACATCTCATTTAACACAGAACCAAAGACCAACAAAGTCAATCAAGTCTTCTTGTAACATTATCGAGAACATTTTCCCAACTCATTACAGGAGTCCCTTTCTCCACCACAACTAGATAGACCAAATCGCTCTCCTTCAACCATTAAATACCAAATAATTTTAGGTTTTTTACCAAGAACAACTTAGACTTGATACTCAGACTTCTTCAACGAAAGACAATAGGATTTAAACGCACTAGTTCTACAAGAGAGAGGATCCATGCATAATGCCTTTCAAAAAAATTTATTGTAGATGGATCAACTTCACAATTCATATTACTTTCAGTTCCACCTCAGCCACCTAATTCAAGGACATGAAGGGCATGACACAAGAAAGAACACTACTACAATGCTAAACTATATGAGGACCAACATTTTTACAAGGGAAGTGAAGATGAGAATGGGGTGAGAATGATATGGGAAGACAAGGATAATGCTGAGGAAGAGTATGTTAGCAATGACGATGACAGGGATTAAGAGGAAGGTGACTGTAACACATATTGCTGATTTAGACACTTTTTCCTGGCAAGTTCATTTAGACAATGGTAAATACTTGTATATACTAGATACCAATTGTTTATTTGATGCATATTTTTATTGTTATCAATTTTTCTAGATTCCATTCTCTTTTATAAATTTAATAATTTAGATGTTATATCCAGGGTATCATTTTGACCCTGATATTCATATGGGATTTGCAAATTCCATGACGTTGTGAGTTTGTGACCAAGTTGTCTAGAGGCCACCCTAGTCAGCAATTGATACCTCAACTTTGAACCATTGCTGGATGATAAATGCCTTGCCTAGTACATATTTTGTCTTCTTCCATTAACAAAACAAGCCAAAAACTAAGTCTAGGACTTTAGAGTTGTTACCAAACCTTATTTAATCTCTATTTGTCCTCGATCATTACCAACAACTGTGACAGCAAAAGTCAGATTTTAAAACCCAACCGCTCCACTAAGGATTCCAGGATATACGTTATGGCTATAGATTATACAAGTTAATGATACAGAACCTTAACGGCCTACACATTCTTTCTTTTCAGCCGAGTTAGCTTGACAAAACTCTTATTGAAGCTGTCTGAACCGATTAATACCCTGCAATTTCTGATCTGGAATGCAATATTCCAAAACATGGTACATTTCCATATAAAATATGAGATTTAACAATCCAAAAGTTCTCCGATCAATAGCCTTAATTTTATTCAAAATAAAAATAAAAAAATTGAAAAAACGAAATAGAATATAAAAAATAATTCAATAAATAGTCTTTAGGTAAACATTTAATGAAAGGGTAAAACACACATCCATAGCTAATTTGTAGGATATACCAAGTTCTATTTTTATTTAATGTCTTTACATGATTGAGACCAATATAATAACTTAAACAGACAATTTGTGCATTTAAATGACATTAGGTTTCTTTTTTTTTTTTTTCTTTTTTTCAAGACAAGAAACACACTCACACGCCCACTTGCTCCAATGGAGACTTCAGCCCTTGACCTTCTACTTTGGAAGGCAAGGAAGTACCATTAGGCTACACAGCCTTTGGTGACGATATTAGGTTTCAGTAAACACAACTTATTTAAAGAAAATACTTTTGCACTAAGTACTACCCCTAGCTAAGTAGCATACTAATATGGACACTTCTAAAGAAGAACAGTGTCTGTGCTGGATACTGATACTCCTGAAAAAACTGGTGAACACTATTCTGACAGTTATTACACACGTCCTTTATTCATATATATATATATATATATATTCATTATTTTAGACACACTGACTGATTTTTCTTATACAATTCTAGTGAATAACCAATATTTCACAAACACTTCTTGATAGGAACTTTGTCCAAGACTCGAAACTAGTGGAAACAAGATGAACACACCAAGATTTGTCCAACCTATTTTTAATTTAGAAAGGAGAAAAGGAAAATTTGACATTAACACACACTCACAAAGCAACCACAAGTCAAGCATGCAATGGTCAGTTTTTGAGAATATAATTTTAGGGGGAAAAAATGAGAAGAGAATAGTAGTATAGATGATGTAGATTATAGTTACGTGAACGATATTTTTCAAGTTTCACATTTGCCCATTTGAGCTAGTGCGGAAGATTAAAACTACAAAAATTAATCAAGGATACAAGTTAGTCCGATAAAAATATGTAATTATGTATAAAAGCATATACGTATATAATGTCATTGTCCGAATCCTACTCTTTTAGATTTTGCCACGTCAAGATATCTTTTCATGTCATTGTCAGTGTTTGTGCCTATTCGATACCAAAAAAATTCCACAACTTAGACCAGTAGAAGCTTATCCCTACATACCTTATTTTAGTTAATTTGGTATTACCACATTTGTGTTCCCATTCCACTTGTCAAGAAACAATTTACATAGGTAAAGTAACTCTTATCAAGTTCTGAAGTGGTAAGGAATTTTAAATAATAGATAGATAAAAAGGTAAATCCTTCCACCTGCATTCTTTTCCTAGCCAATTCATCCTCGTATCGAAGCATTTGTGCCTTTGCCTGTGATTGTTGTTGTATTAAATTCCTTTGTTCTTCAGCCAATTTCCGCTGCTTGTCCTGGCAACCCAGATAGTAATAGTCAGAGGAAAATAAATAATCAAGAATAACCAATGCACAATCTTGGCAAAAACACAGAGGAAATAAATAATCAAGAATAAGCAATGCACAATCTTGGCAAAACAAGGATTCCAATTGCATTTACTACTAATATAAAGGTTTCACAGCATAATCGCGCATAGCCAACTACTTTCCTATCAGGCAGAAATGAAATAAAAACTTGACAAAGAATAAAACCTCTACCCTGTCTCAAAGACAATGACTTAACCTCTCAATTATTGTTGTTCTTCAAAGTTAAAATTAAAATTGAGGTAGCAATAAATTTTCACAAACACTTTCTTTTTTTTTTTTTCCTAAAAAGCAATCATAATGTGAATGGGGGCATATATAGTCAATCAATGACTCACTATATCGAGTTGCGATTGAATTGCTTCGAAATGCGTTTTCTCAGCCGCCAATTCCGCAAGGCGACTTTGTTCCTGCTTCCTCATGATTTCAAATACCTGAAAGAAAAGGGGGAAAAAATCAAATATAAAAGAATTCATTTGTTTTAATTGAAATTTAGTTATTTGGAGAAAATATTCACCTGTTTGGCATATGGAGAGCTGTTGATTTCTCGTAATGCTTTGGCCCCTCTCTCCAGAGATTCGGGATCGAAACCGCCTTTCGGTTCTTCAGCTGCAGGCTCGGACTTACCATCTGAACTTGAAGATTCACTTTGTGGCACCTGCGGAGAAGAAGAGAAGGGATTGAAGCGAAACGAAGAGTCGGCGTACGCGCGGTTAGGGAGCGTGGACAAGGAAGCGGCTGTGACAGCCATTGCTGCCAAGGAAGCTAGTTTTGAGGCGGCCATTGACGACCTTCGAACGTCGTGGTGTTACTGCTCAGATGGGTTTGAATTTGAGATCATTCGAACTCAGAAGCGGAGAGTTCGGGATGTGGAAAGAGGGTTTAAGGTTTGGCGCGGGCATAAACCCTTGGTGTCTTGTCTCTGGTCTTCTAGGGTTTAAACGTTCTGCTTAATCAAAGAACAAATCGGAGTTTTCTTGCGCATTCGGTAATGTTGGTTTGGGCTATAATTTGGGCCGATGTTGGTCCAAACCCAATCTTAAAACTTGGTCGGAATATCAAATATCTTAAGTTAGCGGGCTATTCATGATTATTCTGGCGGTTTTAAAATTCATGATCATGGCTGTAGTAAAACTCTGATTGTACTGGTTGTTCTTTGAAAATAAACTTTGACTAGTCGGGCCCAAAAAAAAAAAAAAAAAAAGTGTCAATATGATCTTTCACATATTTGAAGAAAACAATCTCAAATCAACTGAGGATTGGTCTTAGAGTCCAGGATCAAGCAACCTCATCCCAATTTGTCCCAATTTGTATATATTTTATTATTATATATCATATATTGTTGTTGTGTTTTGTCAAATTCTTTTTCTAAATCTCATTGGAAGCTTGTTATGAGTTATATTCAATTTTTTATTTTTTAATATTTGTTAAATAATTCAACTTAAAATTGTCTTAATTTTTAGCCCTATTTTGTAACTTTCAACATGAATGAGCTCTGAAGTTTTGGATTAAATATTGAGTTGGATTAGACATGGTTGCAAGCCTATTTAAACATTTATAACATAATCTCAATTAAAAATTAATTTGAAATTAGATATAAATAATATTAAATAATTCGAATTTGATCGATTAATTCAATTTTACTTATCATGTTTCTTCATCCGGTGTATTTTATTTTATTTTATTTTCCTCTCTTTTTCTTTTTTGCTTTTGGTTTTCAATACGGGCAAGTATCCCAACTACCAAAAGTCCACTTATACATTTTGGTGCATTGATTTTCGGGTGTATGAATTTATTTTATTTTATTTTTTTTTTTTGCGAAGAAAAAATTAATATAAAATACAGATTAAAAAAGGATTTTAACTATTGATTGTATGCTAATGAAATTTCCAATCATAATTTTTAAAAGAAATCTCCCGCCTTTGGACAATCAACAAACTTTGCACAAAATTTGAACACGGCTCTCCAATTTTATGGCGGAATAAAACTTGTTCATCGTTGCAATGCACTGTGCTTTCTCATATTTCCAATTGCTTATGCACGATCTGGTCTCAGATCTCTACAACCAGCACTGAAGTTTTGGCGAATCCGAGACGAGGACACTCAGTCATCCAGGTAAGCCCTCCCAAACCCTAAAACGCCGTTGAAATTTCACTGTATATAAGTATTACTCTTTTCATTGCTTTTCGATTTTATTTCTTTTCGACATCTGAATTGAAGTAGTTGTCAATCTTGTAAGAAAAACAACTTGATTACTAGATTGAATCAGAAATTCCATTACAGAAGATGATTTCTCTTTAATACTGTTATTCGATTGGAATTATTGCCATTTTCGTTCCAATATTGCCTTTTGATGGTCTATAATCATGATTCCTTAAACTGAGAAGGGTTTCGGTCTTGTATGCAAGTAAATAGTACCTTTTTGATACAATACATGCAATAAAGTAACACCATCGATTCATAGCTATGGTACTGCTTACAATTACACAAAAGAGAAAGATACAGAGAGAGAGAGAGCACGTAGGATTTAGAGATAGAAATAGAGGGGCAGATTATTTTGTTTTTTGAATTATTCTGATGATACACATTGCTTTGTTGACGAGATGATCTACTTTCATCTTGAACTTCAATTGAACTTTATGTTATGTGCTTCACAAGCCTGTCACAATGCGAGAAAACAGTTTTAGTTTACAGTAGAGATTAGAACATATATTAACATTTTGTGATTGGAAAGTTCAAACATCCAGAGATTTCAAGTGGTGATGCAAGAAAACAACTCAGTGAAGACAAAATCGATAAATAAATATATGTTAAAAAGAACAAAGAATGGAGTAATAGTACTAATAGGGAATGAAATATTGAGTGGAGTGTGCACGAGGGTCTACATTAATTAAAATCGAAAAGGAGGGGCTAGTGTTTTTAAACTCACATGACTTAGGAGCATAGGAACATTGACATGTTATCCGCAACAAAGGGTGGGATTAGACCTCATGTGGGCTCTCGTTGGACATAGGGACAGGCTATGATAGAAGTGTGGCAACTATTGCCTTTTTAATTAAAAAATAAGCAACACAGCAGCTGTGGCCTTTTCAAATAATGAAAAGCAATTCGGTGAAGGGAACTTTGGGTTAGTGATCTATCGAAGCCTTCAACGTATTGATGGACCACATTAAAGCAGCACTTTAAAGTTTTCAATGCAATCCAACTATAAGTCCCATTATCATCTGGACCTAGAGGGAGACTGCAGTTACACACCACTTGTATGGAAGTTATGATTTATGCCTGATTATTTTTTATTTTATTTATTTATTTATTTTGCATTGGTGGAACATTGAGGAAAGTAATAAACAGAGAATTAGTTGCAAAATGTTTGTTCTGCTAGGAACTAGGTCAAAAGAAATTAGTATATTACCCGTTTTCCAGATGCACACTGCTTCAGCGGTTGTTCCCTGTTGATCTGTAATTAGGAAATGGGACACTACCTGACTCAATGTGCTTGAGGTCCTCTACGAGGATTTCATAGTGTCTCTTCACGTCCTCTGCAGATTTTCCGCCTACTGCCCTGGCAACGTTCTGCCAGCGGTCAGGGGTGTCCCTATCATATAAGGCCAGGGCCTTTTCAAATAATTTGTTTTGCTTGGGTGTCCATGAGGAGCTGGAGTTACGTGAAGAAGAGAGGTAATTTGATGCCATTCCAAGTCCTAGATGCTCTTCTAAAGAAACTTTGATAGGCCGTGGAAGATGAAAGAGCCAAGCTCTGTGTTGGTGGCAAGGAATTAGTGTAGTTGGGAAACAATTGGAACACAAAATGAAAATGAAAGGGTGTCAAGGGTGAATCCTGCGAAAAGCAAAAGAAGGGAAAAGAAAGAATGCTTAGTCAGGAAGGATGACTAGGAGTCTAGGATGGTATGGGGAAGCTGATACAAGTGAGCCCCTTATAAACAGTTGGAAAGGTGGTGGGGTCGAGCCAGTTGGGTGAATATATCTTGCAGTAGGGCAGAATAAGGAGTGACCCGTCCCATTAAGAACCACAAAATGGAGCAAGACAAAGAACAACAGGTGAATGAGGAGAATCGGTATCAGTATGCTAATTGCGGGACATACAGTTTATTCTTCTTATCTTTCATATTTTTAACACTGACATGATCCTTTTCCTTCTTTCTTTTTGGTAAGGCTTTTCATTCTCTCCTTATTGTTTTTAAACTTGCATTTTAGGGCTCAAGTATAACCTTTCTTCTTAAAAATAGAAAAAGAACTCATGAAGGCTGTGATCAGTAGTTCCTATATGTTTTAGAGCTGCAATGCATTAGCACTTTTAGGTTTTCCATACTGGGATGAGTGGCTGATGTGTCACAAATGGGTGGAAGTAGCTTTTATTACGCTGTTCTTAACAGCAAACCAAATGGTTGTGGTTGGCTTGATGGAACAGACATTTATTTCATTTTAGGCTGCATAAATGGCAGAGCCATTGGGTGTTAGTCTCTTAAGAAGTGGACCATGTATCAGTTCATTGGTGTTTGGATGCAATCCCAATTAACATTCACACCCAATAAAACTTTCAGCTAACTTGACAAAAGGGTCTGTTTTAGCAAAGAACTGAAATTGGTGGCACTAACTTATAAGCTACTGCAAAATATGGATTAATAGCAAAACAGTTAGTAGCTGGATGTGGATAGATGAGGCTGATGTTAACTATGAATAATTATACTACAAATAATAAGGCTAGCAATCAATAACAATAAGAAACCAACAATTGGGAAAAGAAAAACAGCAGCAAAACAACAATTATTTTTGTGATGTTGTTGCCCGAACTGCTATAAACTTCTTATCAGTGCTTGAAATTTAATTTTACCATTGACTTTGTTCTTAATAAAACTGTAAAAATTATCTTTTTAGCTGCTGATATAAACTTGATACTTTTGTCCTTGAGTTGGTTAGAATTGGACAATCTTTTGAAAAGCCAATTTGTCCTATCCACAACTTATTGAGAATCAAACTACCAAGGAGGAGCATGTTAGACACCACGAATCAATGACTTATGCCTTGTTAGAAACTGACTAGACCTCTCCCACACACACGCTTTGGTCAAGCACGAGAACTTGGAATATCATGTGATGAGATTAAATCTAGGTGGCTAGCCCACATGATTAATACCTTAATTTTCTTTCAGGGAAACTAAGTGTATAAAAAAGAGTTCAACTAGGGATAGTAGTCAAAGAAGCAATGCTTTCAATTGCCTTGCTGCATTGCCATGTAAGGCATCACAGAGGTGAGGGATGATTTCAATTTAGTCATCAATGGTTACTTTTATTTTATTTTTTGGGGACAAGAAGGGTATCCCCTCCCTTTGGGTGGGACTAATCCCCTTCGGGTCTACCAACATGCCCCAAGCAGCATACTGGATTAGTGCAAGAAAATTATATAAGGCTAGCCCCACGGAAGGGGAGTCAAAATTGAGACGTTCACCTTTCAAACATATACCTTTTGGCCAACTTTTCTACTCCCTTGGGTTAATGATTAAATCTATGTTGTTTACTGAAATTATGTGGTGCAGTATTTGCTCCAACAAAAAAAAAAATATGAATTTAGATGACTAAAATGCAGAAACCAATCTTCTCTTTTTTCCTTTTCTTAACATGACTCAAAAGGCAAGCTAATGGTTCATTTTGGTGGGTCTGGACTCTCAACACCCTACCTATATGCTTGATAGCAAACTTGTACGGATGGTACAGCATATATGATCTGTTTGGTTCATTTCAACTTTCCACAAAGTAGTCATAAGATTCCATGTTGGTAGGCTATGAAAGTTCATCTAGGAACTTCTTAAATCTTGGAAGATCTTCTTGCTGACGGTTCATATTGAATGGTCGGTCTTTATTCTTCCATTTGCTAAAATTTCAACAAAGATGTGGACTGAAAATTCTTTCTATGAAGTAAAGAGCCTCTTGGTCTGAGTTATATCTCCAAGTTGATATAAATTATTATATCTAGGCAAGTCACCTAATCTATCAATCAAGTTCATTGCAGGCACCAATTTTGCAAGTGGAACCGAGTCTTGTCTTTGTTGTGCTATGATTCAGACAGCTCTCTGGGTAAAGTAACAAAGAATGGCAAAACGAAATTTTTTACAGGTAAAAAAAAAAAAAAAAAAAAAAAATACAACCTGCTTTATGAAAACCTCAGTCATTAAAGGCTGTCCTAGTTGAAGACTCTCCATATAGGTTGAAGTTCTGTTATTTGTTTTGCCTGTTTAGTCTTTATTAATAAAGTATTCATTAATAGCACTACGTATTTGATTTTTTCTGTGTTTATCCTTTTTTTTCTATTTTCTTATAGTGTGCCTCTGTGACACTCTTCATGATACTAGAACTACCTTGGCCAATAACCCCATCCCATCCAAACCTCTCTATTCTTATTTCTAGTTTGCTAGTTTAGAAGCCTAAAATGATATAATCATTTAATGAGAGAGACGGGAAAGAAAAAACAAGATAGGAGTGGAAATGGTGAAGTTTAATCATTTAATGAGAGAGACGGGAAGTGTGGAAGGATTCTTTTTTCTTTTTCTTTTTCATGGTGGTCCTTTAGATACATACTCTCATGGTGATCCTTTAGATACACAATCTTTCTGGTATTTGGAATCCTTATCAAGTCCACCTCTGGAAAAGTATATCCATGGATTCCTTTTTCTCCCTCCTGTTGGGACTGTCTTGTTGCTACCTTACTGTAATTTTGAAGTATGGAAAAAGGGTTTGTAATGGAGATGTATACCTGAACTTCATAATGTCAGACTCTACCGGACACAGTCGGATGGTTTAAGCTTAATTAGTCCTCTTATAAGTGAGGAGAGAAAGAAGTCCACTACTTATACCTGGCCCTCATTTTTTTCAGGAGTGAAAGAAGTCCTCTTACACTTGGTCCATGCATCTGCTAGCTAGCATAAACATGAGGACCACCTTTTGTGGGAATCTTGGAACAAAGAACAAATGGCCAAATGTATATCTAAAGCGTTAATAGTGAAAGTGGAATCTCTCAGTGAGGTTATATGCCAACGAATATATGTCTACAAATACATAAATATTTATGAGATCCTTATGCTAACCAATTTATGTCTATAAATACATATATAAATATATGTGTGTCTATAGACTCTATACATATAATATATACAATATATAATATAAAGGAACTCCAAAGTGATAACATGTTTGTGCTACCAAGGGCTGTAGTCTAGTTGTATCTCGTCTACCTCTCAAAGTGGTAGGTTTAGGGTTCAAGTTAAAAAAAAAAAAAAAGAAAAAAAAAAAGGTGATAATGGGTCTGTGGCTTGAATCAGTTGGAGATATGATGCAATGTGGGGGGAAAATGAGGGAAATGGGGAAAAGGAGGGGAATGAATTAATTGTTAGTGAGGAATGACCAAGTGAAAACACATGAATGATCCAAAATTTCAACCACTCATTCCAAGTTGCTTTCAAGCTTCAAGGCTGAACTGTGCTTGTGGGATGAACAACGTGGAAACTTGTAATCTTTCATGCTCTATTAAGCTTTTCATCCTCCTCATTTATTGAGGAAACCTAGTACATTTTTTTCTTTGATATGTCTTGTGAAAGCTTAAGTTGCCTATTTTGCTTGATCATACCAGTACTTTTGTCGTTACACATATATTCAACTTTACCGTAGTTTTTGTTGGATGCAGAGCAAGTGTATCTTGCCAAAGAGAGGGCAAAAGAGTCTTTAATGTGGATATATATATATATATATATATATATATATATATATGTATGCGCTCAAAAATTTAACTTTTTAAAGTAGTGTTTTGTTAATTGTTCAGGTGAAAACCTTCAACCAGGGGCTTTAACTCCATTCTTAAGTGAACATCAAGTCTTGAGTATTAGGATTTAAATTTTTTTTTTTAACTTGGCAATAGTTAGAGAGTTGGGAGTTGGTGGGAGTTAGGAGAAGGGGATTTAAGGCTAGATGCATATGGTGGGAGGCACTTAAGGCTGATCCTTTATCAATTGGACAACACTGTCACACCCGCGAATGCTTGAATTTTGTTTGGTTGTCTCTCTTTTGCTGTATAATATATATATATATATATATATATATATTCTAGGGTAAAGTACATTGACATCCTTGAGATTTGGGGAAAGGACAAGCAGAAAAAAGTTAGTCTGTTTTTGGACAATGACATCCCTTCAAGTTTGAAAAATGGACAAAGAGACTCTGAAGATAGTGAATTGACCTTATTACCCTTTCAAATAAAATTAACATTTTAATGGACTTAAATACCCGTTGATTAAACCCGAACCCGAACCCGCCTGTGTATGTTATACAGTTCACCAAAGGATAGAGAAGGGAGATTAGATGGATGGTGGTTGTGGCCGCGGTGGTGGGTGTAGAGAGAGGGGGAAGAGAGGGGCGGCCATAGTTGAAGAGATGAGGTGAAGAGGAGAGAGAGGAAGAAGATATGAGAGAGATTGTGGTGATGGCTGCGACAGTGGGGGTGGCGGTGATGACTGCGACAGTGGCGGCGAAACCCAGAAGCATCGACGAAACCCTGAAATTGCCAGCGAAGACCAAGCTCCGATGACGATGCGGCCACGGACTGAACAGTGTGGCGAAGTTTAGAAACCGAGCAACAAGAGACCGACGAGCAGCAACAATCCGGCGAGGACCAAGATCCGATGACGACAAGGTTCAGATGAGCACAGTCCGGCGACCGTCACCTACAAGGCCGAGGAGGCTGAAGTGGCCATCGCTTTTGCCGTCCGTTTTGAGTCCAATTTGAGCCCTTTCCGGCGTGGGGAACGTCTCTGTCAATCCCGGTCAAACCCGGCTAGTCCGAGTCCGAGTTCGCCGCCCGAACCGAGGCTGAGCTCCGGCGAGGTCGAGGAGGTGGCAGTGGCAGAGCTCC